TGTGTGAATGTGATCAATGTGCGTGTTGGTTTGTGGTTTTCAATACCACTTGTCTTGCAGACTCCTATTTTTATTATTTTTTTTAACAAAAAAACTAAAAGGAAGGAAGGAAGGAAGGTTTTTGCCCAAAAATCAAGATGTCATTCTGCGTAAAAAGTCAAAGGTAAATAAAGCACATTTTTTTGGTCAACCACAATGATATGGTTTTCTCGCCGGGTATCGAAGCCACCGTTTTTGTCAACAACGCGATCAGCCTTTCCGCATTTGAACCCGAGAGCCAACAAGCGCTTTTCTTTGCGAACAGCCCTTATTCTGTTGTTTTATGTGAAAGTGTATGTTTTCGTCAGCAAGAAGGTTGGCGCTTCCGCGCAAAATCTGAAAGTGGGATGAAAGCCTCAGTTGGACAACCAAGCTGATATTCTTTCTCCATAAAAACTGAAAAGTTTATCAAGGCATAAAGGAGCGAGAGGAGCTAGCAGCCAGAAAGTGGTCGAGCTCCACTGAGCAGCCCATTTCTTATCACAAAGACTTTTGCTAATGGATCCAGACATGTAGAATATAAAACACATTCACCAGTAAGCAGGTATGACATTTCAATAGGCGCCTTTATTAAGTTCTCCGGCAGGCGGTGATGTGTTGGAAATGAATGCGACATTCCCGACGCCAAAGAGTTCCGTGACGACTCCCAATGGATATAATTGACGAAGGCTTGATGAAAAGTGTGAGGTGCAATGTTGTGTTTACAATTTTGATTGACAAGGTACAGCATGATGTGCTCCTAACAGCTGTAATAGGCATACTGGATACTAAAGTGAGGCATTTAACCGCGGGGGGACGACGCCAACGAAGATGAATGCCTTCTCCTTAAGTCTTGCCTCGACTTCCCCATTTGAGTTTTAAGCCAACACCCGCGGCTCGCCACCCCGCCGCCACCGATCCACAATCGTTTCCCGCTCAGCGCCGCTGCTTCATGGAGACTCCCCGGAGAGCGGCATTGAAGCGGTCGCTGCGTAACCATGGGAACGCTCCCTTTAACATAAGCCCATTTGCAGAAGCGGACACTCGCGCATCCATTTGGCGCGCCGTGCGGGCGATGATTCCAAGCCAAACTCAATTTGGGCCGATTATGGGCAAGGTTTATTTATTCAGATATTTATTGCGACCCCAATCCTAACCCTCCCTGGATCGTAACGCCACACATTTTACCACAACCGTGCCCTGTAAGACCCAAACCCCAAGACACGACCTCGAACCATAGCCGAACAACCCTCACTCTACAATAACCTCAAAACTCAACTCAACTGTATGGGACAATTTATAACAACCACTGCTGTATACAAAGCGCTGTACATGGAGCAAAAATAATTCATACAACGACAAACAATAAATTAATAATCAAGACAGTCGAAAGCACAAAAACAGTCAAACTTAAAAAAAAAAAACGGAGTCAAAAGCCATCCATCTTCTGATCCGCAGTAGGCGGGGCACGCCCTGAAACGGTTGCCAGCCAATCGCAGAGCATGCAGACACGAACATCCATCTTAGCTCAAACTCACACCTCAGGACAATTTAGAGTGTTCCATTAAGTTGCCATGCATGTTTTTGGAATGTGGGAGGAAACTGGAGTACCCGGAGAAAACCCACGCAGGAATGCCTGCAAATCCTAATCACCTTGGCCTTGGACAATAACTCCGCACCCTACACCCTAATCTCTATCAGTCACTAACCGCACACTTCACTTTAACCCCTCACATTAAACAGTAATGGCAACGCTAATGTCAATCCTGACCCTAACGTCTCACCCCAACAGTTAACTTTGAACTCTAAACCCTAACACTTAACCACAAGACCAAATCTCCGAGTCTACCCGAGCACTTACCCATCATCCGAACCGAACCGCTATCCATACTTGACAGGTCAAGTATGGATTACCCTTTGGGGATGTTCAATTTAAAAATGCATCACAAGCAAATATCCGAGCACCCCTCAAAAGAGTGATACCATTTCCAGTGGTGTGGCGCGCCTCCAACTTCCGAGCCTAATCAATATTTGGCTTTTCCACACCAACTCAGGCTGGTCTGTCCTCACCAAGTCTCGTTGCGTGAACTGATGACACCCGCTCCGATGAGAGGCCAATCGTCTTCTAAGACAACCGAAGCCATTGTGATTGAAAGGAATAACCTGGATCAATGAGACTACCCGCACGCATGTCCGACCTTGACGATTGCTGACTTGTTCCGGCTCACGTGCAGTAAACCTGAAAATGGTCGAACTTTGTTCAAACTCTGCTGATTTACTTGCAAACAGGATGAGCATCATCAGCGGCCCTGCAGTCCATCACTCACGGAGCCTGATTGCCTTCCGTGACGTATCATTACTCCCGCGCCTAATGAGTCACCTCCAAATAAGATGAGGTTAAGGTTATCAATATTGGATCCTTGCCACAAATATGTTGGGCTCGACACATGATGGATCTTTTGCTTCTCGGATGGCAACTTTCGAAGTGACTCATCACTTTCACCTGACCTTTAACTGCGGC